TAATATAATATAAATATATGTTTATATAAGTGGCATTTTATGTATGTATTATAATATTATTTAAAAATATTAATATATCCTAATAATATTAAATTGCATGCACACATATATATATATTAATATATACTGTATTATATATATATATATATTATAATATATAAATACTATACTATACTGCTATATATATATATATATAATACTAGATATATATATATATATATATAAATAAACATTTTAAATATAAATAATATATTAAACATATTCACGAAACCTTAAATGTTTATAAAATATTTTGCCATATATTAATAATTTGATCATTAAGAGTCCCATTTAGCACATTTTATCATGTCTTTTTTGCTAATTTCTTCTTAAAATTACAGCAAAATGTCTGATTATGTGCAGATTATGATTTTCACAAAAAATATCTCCATCCTGTAGGACGAGTTATAAACCACCAACTAGGCTTGATGTTTAACACCTTTTTCTGTCATTGTTTCTCAGTTGGGCCGCCTTTGCTCATTCCGGTGTATTTCCAGTTCCAGATCTTTCACAATATGATCGTACATGGTCTTTGGGTGGTAGGTTCCCATGATCGCTTTGGCTCTTGCCGTGTTCATGCAGCTGAATGTGATTTTACAGCACTTTCTCTGTCCTTATCTTATCTCTTCTCGTCTTATCTCTTTTAGGACCTCGCGTGGTGTATAAGTTACTATGTTCGATACTTCCTGTGTTACACGCAGTTCTACGGTGTGTTTTGGGCGGTGATTCTGTTTAATTTCGTAAGGTAAAAAAAATCATTTCATCTACAACTTCTGCTTAAAATATGTTAATATTCCAAATGCGTTCTCACTGGCTGAGAAGCAAAATACAATCACTTATTAAAAAATACCACGGTATTACTATGTTTTTTGCACATGCACCATGTAGCACTATGCTTTTCTTTCACTTACCGAAAATTATCTTGAGTATACTAGTTTTTTTGGACATTTACCACAGTAGTACCATAGTATTTTTGGAAATGCCTTGGTATATGAATATACAATATAAGTCAAAGCACTACGGTTTTACTTTTACACACTGCTTTGTTTGTGCCAGAGAGCGAGAGAGAGAGAGAGAGGTGTGGGCGTGTCCTTCACTGTTCACTCTCTCATTGTCTGATTGCTGTAGTCTCCGCCCACTCCTCCTGCACCAATCAGAACGCTGGAGCACTGATTGCTCACAGCTGCTGGTGTGTAAGAGGTCATAAAGCTGTGAGGTTGCTCAGTGTTCATCTCTGTTACTGTCAGCGCACAGTGTCTGTGTCACAGTGTCTTTTCACCCCTTCTCTGCAGTGTGATGATCTTTTCTTTTTTTGTTGAGATTATTTGAGTTATTTTATATTGAGTTTATTACTTTCAGGAGGATCTTTAGTCTTATAGTTTATGTTGAGTTGTTTTCTGTTGTTTTTTTCTACTTTATTTCCCCTTGTTGAACCTGCTTTTATAAAATTGTAAAATGGAAAGAGTGTGTATGCATTTTTAATTCATTTTTATTTAAATCCTTTTTCCTTCAGTAGTTCATTTTAAACAGTCATGCGGTGTGACAAATTAATACTCAAAATACAAACATTTTATCTCTCAATTAATATGGTCAGAAATGTATAATAATTAGAAAAAATGTGCAAAATGCAGTTTAAGCACATGTACTTTGACCTCCTTATAAAGTTGCAAAGGCTTTATAGAAGTCTTTCCAGTGAGTTGGAAATATGTTCAGCTTCACTGATCTCAGATCAGTCTTCTGACACCCTCTTAAGTTTCATGTTAAAAATCTATAAATAAAATGTATATATTATTTTTTTTTTTATTATTTGGGGGGGGATATTCAAATAGGTGGAAGCTAAATTTAAATCTAAAGAACTGTGCAGAATTATTATTATTATTATTAATACCGAAAGTTTCCATGACAGATTTATTTAAACTAACTAGCTAATAAAGCATGTGTAATTTAGTGCATATCTTTATCAAAATGCTCCTCACTAGTGTTGTTTTCTAGCTGACTAACAAGCTTTGAACATGAAAGGCTTTCCTGAGGTTCTGTCACGTTGTTTAAAAGCTGTTCTATTGAACTCTTTCTGCAGTTGAAATGCGCATCGACTGAAAACGGCACTGACCAAAATTTCATCACAATAAAAGATTTACTAAAAAATGAGAAATCGATGTTTTCAGCACAGCTTCAGTGTTTGCGCAGCTCACACCTTTACCTGTTGTAGTTTATCCACTTTGCGTGCACGAAATAGACATTATCAAAATGCAACTGAATATTTCTGTATTGCCAAAATTTTGGTGCATTAATTTCCAAACATTTTCTTTAAATGTTCTGCAGTTTTCCTCTTGTTTTAAATAAATACGTAAAAATGGGTAAAAACTACCCATATATCAAAGTACCATGGTATTACCACCTGACACTCAAAAAAAAAAAAAAGTACTACTTTTGAGAGAGAATATTTTGTATAAGAGAAGTATCATATTGATCTTTTATGATGCTATCAAAGGCATTCGATTATTAAGTATGTTTACATGCACTACTAATTTGTCAATGGGGATGAATTCAATCTGATTTCAGATTCTGAAAGTTGTTTATTTGAACCCTAAACACTGCAATCCAAGTCACATATTCATTTACATGTGCATTACGTGTATTGCGAACAAAAACACCATGTTAATCTCAGTTTCCTCCACTGACCAGTTCAAAAGACGAAAATATGACAAAATATATGTAAACATACGCATCACAGAACTGTGTATGTGTCCAAGTGGTTTTTGAATCCGATATATATTTAGATATTCAAATTCAAGCATTTAGTTCTTTCCTGTTAATTGAATTAGTACAGTTGTACACTAACCTATTACAATCTGATCAGTTTCATTTGGTTCAAGCTCAGTTGGATTGATGGAGGTGTTTGCATGAAGGCTTTTCAATCTGATTGAGCCATCAATCCAATTATCAATGTTATTAGGTTACATGTAAACATAGCTAAAGGTTATTGCTCCACCAATTGCTTTGGGTGATTTACAGTTAATATTGAATTTTTGTGTAACACAATGTAATTGTGAGATCCTGCTTGGGGTAAAGTCACATGATTGTGGTGTTCCTGTGGGCCGCAGGTTCATGGAGAGCCACTGGTTTGTGTGGGTGACCCAGATGAGCCACATGCCCATGCACATCGACTACGAGAAACACCAAGACTGGCTTAGCATGCAGGTACATTCTGAGCTGTCACAGCCGCACTGGGTTTAAGTCATTCTACCATGCCAATTCTGTGCATTTCTGTCATTTAGCTGGTTGCAACCTGTAACATCGAGCAATCCCCCTTCAACGACTGGTTCAGCGGACACCTCAACTTTCAGATTGAGCACCAGTAAGATAAACAAAAGTGCTTTCAGTGCGAAAATGGCTTCAGTTTATCTTCGGCATTTCACAACTGTGCTTTGTTCTTGTCCCAGTCTCTTTCCCACAATGCCTCGGCACAATTACTGGCGCGCCGCTCCACACGTGCGAGCGTTGTGTGACAAATACGGAGTCAAGTACCAAGAGAAAACCTTGTACGGGGCCTTTGCGGACATCATCAGGTATGACGCACACCTGAAAACCCACGGTTTCACCTTCAAAAGAAGCTTTTGCTCTGAACTATTCCTATATAACATGAAACAGCATTGACAACCAATTTAAGGGTCCGTTGTGGTTGGGGTCAATTTGGGCCACACTTGATTTTTCAAACTGCTTGAAATACTGCTTAATCGGTTTATTTTTTCTTGAAATTTGGTGACTATTTCTCATTTAGGGTCATGAATGTGCATGCAAAGTTTCGACAGACGTATTTTGGAAAGGCTGCACAAATTGTTCTGACTTTGTGTTTGGGTCTTACTGACACCCCCATTGACCCACAATGAGGCAATAATAATTGGTTCAAATAAAATATGAAAAGCAATTAATCATGTTTTATTGAACAAAACAGCTAAAATACGTAATGTAATAAAACAATATAATCATAACGTACATATCAAATGCCTGCAGAAGGCGCCAATGGCCTGGCGATTGTTTTTGCACTTTACAGTGCAATCTAATTCTTGTTTAATATCGACTAAACAACATTTAATTCAAATGCCTTTGATATTTGAAGAACATGTGGACATCAAAACATGCAAACTCAGAGCAAGGGTTTAAACTTTTTTTTTAGTTTTTTGAAGTTTGATGAACCTTTAGCATATTTAGAAAGAATGCTGTATTCTCATGTGTTGGCATAGGTTTATAAATGATTTACCTTAAATCTGATAGAAATGTGCACATTGTTCACAGATGAACGTTATAAGCAACTCAGACTCACAGCATATGCAAAGATGGAGTTTGAGATGCTCCGCATGTAAATTATAACTGTTTGTGTGGAGCAGCATTTACTGTGAACGGATTATGACTATGCTTTATTGTGATTTTTTTAATGGTTTTAATATTTTGTGCAGCCTTGGAAAACAGTCTAATAATGCTTTTCATGGATTCTTGTCCGTGGAATGCACCACTTCCGGTATTTTGCTGGTTAATTGACACGGGCAAAATGCAATCTAAGCTTCTTTTTTTTTTATGTATACTCTAATTTAATCGAGGACTCGTGACTGCCCTACTTTATTTACAAATTACATAGAAACCAATGGGGGTCAATTTTATCCCAAACACAAAAGTTTAACCCAGTTTTTGCACACAACAGGAGGGTTAACAAGACATTTACTGAGAGAAACGAGGAAAAATGTAGAGTGGGAGTTGATTTTATCCGTCTGGGAATTGATTGGATTGTGTTCTATATATGAATGATTCATACTTATTCATATTTTGTGCGCATATACTGGCAGATGCTTCAGCACTAACTGTTCCATTACTCTCCTCTCAGGTCTTTGGAAGAATCTGGAGAACTCTGGCTGGATGCGTACCTCAACAAATAAAATCTCACTTCTGTTTGCATTTTTTTTTTAATGAAAAGCTGAGCAGAATCTACCAATCAGAGAGAGCATGTCGCAGACTAGACATTAAAAAGTCTCCTAACTAAAAGACCAGTCAATCAGATTGCTAAAATGATGCGTAGCACTTTTGTTTTTGATATTTAAAGGGTAATTGTGGCACTTTGAATGTGTTTTAAAGAGACTGATCAGAGAGATGTGGGTCTTGCTCCTAATAAAGAACGTATCTGATGGTGCATGAACGTGCATGATTGTTCCTGAAAGTCGTGTGATAGCTGGATTACAATTGCTGAAATTTAGATTTGCATAGTTGCTAGATGCATTGAATATTTTGAGGATAATTTCGGAGGCACAGTCTTTTAGCAGTCACTTTATTTCTTAAATTTACAACAGTGATTTTGTTTTTATAAATAACATTTGGAGAAACTAGCAGGATAATACTAAGAGGTTGTACTTCTGGGTTTTATATGACATGATTTCCTACTACTGGTAACCAATTAAACTGATTAAACCTCATCTGTGTGTCTTTTTCAAGTGTCTCTATTGTGATTGAACTACATTCTGAAGGATCAAAATCTCTAAATGCCCTTTATACAAATTAAAACACTTGTTCCGTATACAGTGTTGACGAAGGAAAGACATGCATGAAATCCAGCTGATATATCTACTGTTCTCGCGTCATTCATTCGTCATAACGATCAGCATCAGAACGTGTGATGAGACTGAATTTAGCACATTATTTACATTTACGTCTCTTTCAAAGCCAACGTCACCGATGCAATCATACATCAAACCCCAGAAAACATTCACTCTGTTCAATCTTATGGACACGGGTGAATCTCACCTGTAAAACCTGTACGGGTCACATAACCACAAGATCACAAGAAATATGTTTATTTTGCTTAAATTACATTTGTTGCACTGTTTTGAATTTCACCTCAACTTAAACTTTTTTGAATTACTGTAATGTGATTTGTTTTTGAATTGTAAAACATGAATTTTTGAATGAATCATTGAGAATTACAAAAACTCAAGAAAATGGCTGCAGTACTTTGAGAAATTGACAAATGACGCAAAAATGTTAATGATCCTAAAATGGTCTTTCTATAATAATCCTTTTGTTTTTGAGGTGAAAAGTCATTGTACTGATTTTCATTTATGCTGATTATTATTATTATTATTTTTCTAAATCAATGTTACTTTGAGCAATGGTGGTTAAAATGACATTCAAAAACAACAAAAACATTAATGGTCCTGAAAGAGTCTTTATTTTTATCATAGTTTAATTTTTCTTATTTTGAAGCGTGGCCTGTACATGTTTTCATGAGACTCACCGATATATTGTTTCCATGCACTAGAGAGTCGTATAAGCTTACAACTATTTTCCAGCATGAACAAGATGATGTGTGTGGATAAATTACAATAAGGTCCGTACATGCACTAATAATAAAAAAGCACCATTAGAAAATCTATTGGATTAGACTTCATTGGTGGGTTTGGTTGATGGTTACTGTTGCCAGGTGACCGTTTGATTGACAGTCCATGTGAGCATTTAGGTAGATGCAATTTTCTCTTGCTGTTTAATCAGAATCTCCTGCAGTTCCGAATCTCCTCGACTCTTCTGACGGAGGGAGAAAAGACAAATGAGAAGAGTTCTGTGGTGTTTAGTGCACTGTTTAGCAGTACATCTCTCTACATGTATCATATTGTGGATGATGAAGTGTTTCTGACCTCTAGTAGTGATTTCTGGACGGTGATCTGGCTGTAGACGCGAGATCCCTCGTCTCCACACACAGCCTTCAGGTTATCTTTATTCAGAGAGAAGAGCTGAGCGCCGGTCAGGATTCCCAGACGCTCCACCGTCCTGACAGACAGACAGACACATTATTTCTCAACTTTATCCTTCTTAATTGTGTTACTTTTTTTAAAGACCCCATGAAATCAAACTGCCTTCAATTAGCAACAGCAAAGTAAAGCTGTCGAATGTGGTTTTTCCAGGTTGTGACAAACTAAAGGCTATTGGCTATAATTAAAAAAGAAACCAACCCTTCAATATGTCCCGATTTCAATGAGAAATGTTAAAAGGAAAAAAGCTGCACCTGATGCGTATCATGGGGTCTTTTTTGTTGATTATTCCGTTTTGTTTACTATCGTTTAAGTTTAGAAGCTTTAATGAGTTCTTAGTAAATGTGAACATTTTAATAATTTTTTCATAGTTTGGAAGGCTTAACGAGTTCTCAGGAAAAACATTTTATATTTATTTTAATGTTTTCAGTTTAGGATTAATGAATTCTAGTAAAAATATATTTTATTTTTTAGTAAATTTTTCATTGTTTCATATTTTTATATATATATATATATATCTCACAGTTTAGAATTACTTTTATTTGAATTTCTTTTATATTTTAAAAGGCTTTTGAGTTCTCAGTATAAATAAATGCTTAATGTTTTTATCACTTAGGATTGAGTTCTCAGTAAAAAAAAATAAAAATTTAATATTTTTTTTGTTAAGAAGGCTTAATGAGTTCTAAGTAAAAAAAAAAAAATTTTAAATAAATCTTTTAGTTTAGCAGGCTTGATGAGTTCTCAGTAAATACATTTTATTTTATTTTAATATTTTTCATTGCTTCCGTTTTTAGTAAAAACATGTTTTATTTATTTTAATTTGAAAGCATTTTTACTGAGTTCTCAGTAAAATACATTCTTTTTATTTTAATAGTTTTATTGTAATAGCTTAAGATTGAGTTCTCAGTAAAATATATATATTAACTCGAGTTCTCTGTAAAAGCAATTTATTTGACTCACGGTTTGGAGAAGCCCTTGGCATTGAGCCAGTTGGTGACCTCGGCCGGGTTGGAGTTAAAGGTCAGAGGAACAGCAGACTGACGCACCACTTTAAAGTTCCTCGCAGGCTGTTGAATCTTATTACCGGTGATCAACATGAGCAGCTCATCGTTCACTTTGTCCATCTGTTGACCTGAGAACAGTGATGGAGAAACACGTCAAATACACACTTTCAGATGTTTTCTGATCCAGAACCTTCTGCTCATATTTGTCTCAAACTCACTTTTGTCTTTGTCACTGCCCAGTGAGCTGGAGGGCGACTGTCCTCGGTATGACTGCATGAGAGTGGCAGGAAGACAAAATCATAATTAATTCGTATTTTTAATGATCAAAAACGTCTTGTTTTTTGCTGCTTTATAGTGTGTACATGTGTTTACCGGACTATAAGGTGTTCCTGGACTGTATGGCGGGTCAATAAAAGCGTGAGGATCCTCCAGTTTTACCACATCCAGGATATTATAGGGCACATATCCCGCCTGTCCACTTCGGTTCCTCAACTTCCACCACTGCTTATCATCCTCCAACACCTTAAAACACACAGTGGTTAGTTCTTTCTTTCATAACACAACTTGTATTACACTAAATTTTACAAGTGCTATCAAGCTATAAAATGAATGTGCATGGCTCAGAGCTCAGATTAGCTCATCTTTTGGGAATTTGATGACAAATGCCTGAGTTCATAATGAGATCTCTGACTATTGAGACTTTGGTTTGTTGGCACAATTTGAGAAACCCTAGAGGAAACATATGAAATTACTATTTTCGAAGGAGACTTGAGTGAAAACTCCATGAGAGCTCAATTTAATCTCACTGCTGTCTTTGAGAAGCACTTGATGTTAAATGTGATTTTTTTTTTTCTTCACATTCTTCATACCTCCAGAACTTCATCCTGAAGCACCGACAGCTCGTTTGCATTACGTGCCACAAAGTGGTAGCGAATCTTTGCATACTTGCGAGAAGCAGGAGACGTCGAGAAAGACCTGAAAAAAACGTGACCAGCCAAAAAATAAAGGATTTTAACATTTTGAACAAAAAGTGCCTTTTTTTCTAATGTTTACTACAGTTGAAAAAAATTTAAAGTTACTGAGATACAGATCTGACAACTCACTCACCCGTTTGAAGAGAGGGATGACTGTGATCCAAAGAACTGACATGGAAAAGATTAAATGCATTTAATACAGAGAAGAGATTTTCACACAGAGGAGATTGTGACAGTGTGTTTTAACACAGATTCATCTCTCTCTCTCACCTCTTTCGGTCTGTATTCTGTTTGCACCGGTGCACCGGCGCTCTCCGTCTCCCACGGTGACGAGCGGAACAGTTCCACCGGCGGCTCCCAGCCGTTCCGGAACTTTGGGACGTACAGAGGAGCGCACTGATCTTTCGGCCAATCAGCTCTAAGATGCACAAAGACACACCCAGAATTAAACAACATAGTAAAACATACATGCATTTTTCCATGACTGATGCTAATCAAGAGAATTTATTTATTAATTCATTCTAGAGAGATAACATTAAATATATCCCATAATACTTCATATAATAATAATAATAATAATATCAGCCATTAAAAAAAACAAACTGGTTGTTCATTAGTCAAAATTGCTCAAATAAAAACCTTTCTAATAACACAAGTGATCCTGTTTATTTATCCACTGAAAAGGGAATTTTGGGATTCACGAGAGGGAACTACCATCATCTGATACTGATCATCTCAAAAAAAAAAAAGCAAACATTGGCTGATTACGCAGCTCGATGTATCGGTTTGCCACTAACACACACTCCTGTAACACATCCACAGCGGTTGACTCATCACCTGGGCCGTGTCCAACAGTCTCCCAGCAGCTCAAAGATGGTCATCTCTTTGGGAGTCAGGTGTCCTCTCAGGAAGTCCACTGTGTCCCGGGACAGGTGAGGAGAGATGACCACACGCGGCAGCTCAGGACTGCCACAACTCTGCAGTATCTGAATTCACACAAGTGTTTTTATAAATGAGAGCTGTGTACAGTGTACACATTATGATTGGATGAGGCCTGAATGAGCCATTGCAAAATAACTGTTATACACCATTGCATTCTGTTATTATACCAAACAGGATACTGATGGTGGTGGTGATGATGATGATGATGATTATTATTATTACTTCTACTACTAATATATTTCTTGGTGGAACAATACATTATTGTGCTACTATCATTTACAAGGGTATTTCATTGCCAATGTTTATTTATCTATTCAGGATTATTTATACTTCTATTTGCATTTTTAATTACATTTTACTTTTTTATTAAATCCAAAAAGTTGTCTTTTAGTGGCGATTATTAGCATTTATTTAGTCTGATGAAACTCTATTCCTAAATTTCTGTTCCATAATTAACCAATAGAGGTACATGGTGTGTTTTTATTTTGTGCATGTGTTCAGTTCCTCACCATTTCCAGAGGTCCAAACAGGAAGTGCACGAGCTCTGCAGCGCTGGGGTTCTGGATGTGTTTCTTCAGTTTGGCCTGTGGAGGGTGCACACAGACCATCAACACATTCGTTCATGAAACTGAGCAGAATAAATTTGTGTATTTTATTCGTAAAACAATTCTTCCATAAATTTTCACTTGAACTAATATCAACATTTTGAAATGTGCTATTGTTTCTTTCAGCATGTTGTAATGTTTGAATTCGAGTGCACACATACCAGATTATCTTAAACCGCAGCAGTTTTGCATGAGAGTTAAAACATTGTGTATTTATGTTTAAGGGCGTTTTCAGTTTAGAAACAACGAGAGCAAGCGAAACCCACCAGCAGATTGAAAGAGAGTTTCAGCTTCTGAAGACAGTCGATAAACTCGCCTTCTGATGGAGGTTTAGCTCGTAGCGTTAGCATTCCCTCTGAAACACACACGAGAATCATGTTTGTTTAGCAAAGCATGTAAATGTATTTAAACATTTGCTGTTTTCCTAAGTATAAACTAGCTAATAAGTGATTTATCGAAGGAATAAATGAAAGATGTGTTAAATCAAATGCATATGTACCTGCCGGGCCTCTTTTCTTGGTTTTCTTGCTCCTGTTGCGCTGGTTAAGTTGCGCAAAAGCCTCTGCCACTTTATGAAGACGTGCAACAAAGATCTCGATGTCGTCTAGAGCACAGTTCAGGATTTGCTGAATGACAAACATAGAGTGAAAACACACGGCCTGAGTTACAGCGTTACGCCTGGTCTGATGTAACCACGAATCTGATACACTCAATGCTTGAGTGTGTTTTACGTATGTGTGTGTGTGTGTGTGTGTGTGTGTGTGTGTAGTTCCCTCTCCGATATCCAGTGTTATTCAGGCACTCACCACGTCCTTCTCAATCCGTTGGGCCAGTTTCATATTGGACTCGGGGTCCTGCATAGACAATTCATCTGAGACAAAAACGAAGAGTATTTAAGATCAATGCATTTATTATAAATGTAAGTATATAAGTGTTTTGTGTATGTGTGTTTGGCACCTTTCATGTCTGTAGCTGCTACTCGACCTTTGACCCCAGGGCCAGGACTTCTAGGCTCAGAAGCCGGGATGATGCTCTCCCGGTGGTGTTTCATCTTTTCTTGGTTCATTCTGATGGAGAAATGAGAGAGGGAGAATTCATGTGCTCCAAAACCTAATTAGCAGCCTACTTGTATTAGTCAGCAACTTTAAAGATGGGTAATTTTGGCTAAGTTTATAATTTGGCAAGAATTACCCTTCTCAGCATGTATTGTTTGTTGAGATGGGTATCTTTGTGTAAAGAAAATTATAATGAGCTCAGATGGTGGAGAATGCGGGCAATGTTGATTTTATCATGAGTTCATTCAACACTAAAAATAATCCAAGTTGGTTTAATCTAACTAAACACTGACTAGCAACACCTTTACAAACCACCTAGCAATACACTAAAACCACTCAAACACCCCAACAACCACCTAGAAGTGTCCTTAACCCTGTATAGCCTGACATTTTAAATAATAGTCCACGTTTTTGAAATGGAACCGTTTATGGAATCTTTAGACAAAATATAAAATAATCGAAAAGAAGGCTACGTATGTGTTTTTGTTAAGCATCATATTTGATACATCATGCTGTTATGATATAGTGAGAATATGGAGCTCATACTCATGGAGGAAAAACACCTCTGTTTTATTCAGAGGCCCAAACTGAGCAAAAATATGCAATTTGGTGCAGTTTCTATTTATATGCCCAAAACGATCAAAATCTAATAGCTTGTAATGTAAATCAATGACATTTTTTAAGAGTATAGCAGACTACTTATATAAAATGCTTATAAATATCAATTGTCACTCTATATCTCCCAAAAATGTCTGTTAGATGATATTTAAATGCTTAGTTCAATGACCAAAGCTCTGTAGTTTGTTTGTGTAAAACAATGCAATACAATGACAATTGAGAGATGAACATTCATCAAAAGCCTGATGGATCGTATTTGAACTCGCATTTGAGCATGATTTTTCTAAAAGATGAGGTATGGATAATCAAAGTAACTAATCAAGATACTTCAGTCCAGTACGTGTCCATCTTGAAATACTACTAACAATATAAAAGTTATTCTCAAGCTTGCTTAATAAAAGTCAGTAAAAAGTACTACAACCTCAAGGAGGATGTTTTTACAATTATACTAAAAGGCCTTTTACTTGCTAGAAAAGTATAAACTATCAATCAGACAATAGAAGGCATGTAGTGTTTGTGTAAAACAGGTTTTTCAGCAAGGTTTTGGTCATATTGATAATATAGAGGAATGTGTGTATCAAATATGATACAGTAGACTTTATGGAGTTAAACATCAGAGGAACCACTTAGCAATGGCCTAGAACTGCCTAAACACCCTAGCCTTTAATGATAGCTCATTTTGGCCAAATTATAGGCTTTGCCTTTCCAGCATGTATAATTTGCAGAGACAAACCCTTAATGCATTGTGATGAGCTCAGGTGGTGGAGAATGCGGGCAATGTTTATTACATAAAACTAAATCAATGCTAAAATGTATCAATTGTTTAATCTAATAAAAAATGTACTATTTTACTCAGTATTTGCCTATTTTATGTGAATTGCTTTGTTAGCTTAGCAACATGCTAACTGTAACACTATTGAAATCAATTGTGAAATTGTGAATCACCTGTCCTGTGCGCTTCTCATTAGTCACAAGGTTGCATTTCAGTTAAGCTGCCTAAGTTGAGAGCAAGGCAGCTGACTAGGGTTTGGAATGGAATGGAGCTAATGTGTGCGTGAATAACTGTACAGTCTACTATCTCTGATGACCCTGGAACCGGTTTTTCAGGAAGAAAATCCCACCGGTTATAAAACACAAGTGTGCATGTGACCAAAGCCCAGTGCTGACACTGTAGCATCCCTAAATAAATGAACAACTATTACACACAGCAACCTTAAGTAAATGTGGCTGTACTATCTGCTGATCCTGTTACGGACGTCAGTAGATATACAGTCTGTTCAGTGGGTAGAAGTGTTGTGAAACTTGGTGTCAGTCATTCTGGCTAGTAATTAGTTATTTAAAAACCACTCCAGTAGCATTTGTTGGTGTCTATGAGAGCTGGGACTCACTTTAGCGTCTGCGGTCGCATCTTCTTGCCGCATGTGTTGTCTCCCAGAGCGCTATCAATGTCAGCGTGCACCATCTCTGCCTAAAACACAACCACACACACAGTTCCAGTGAAAGCAGCTCTCGGTAGTGCTTATCCTGCAGGGGTGTAAAGGTCCATTTTTTTGTTAACTTTTTTGTTCATCATTCAGTTATTTCTGGGAGATTATAGAGATGAAATTCACACAGGTTGATGAAGTGGTCTCACCTCCACTTCGTCGCAGTAGAAGAAGTGAATGTCTGGTTTGTGTTGTTCACTGTCCTGACAGATGAGCAGAAGGATGGATGGATATCTGGTCTGGTTCAACAGCGTCTGACAGTGATGGACTGTGGCCAGACGAAAGATTTCAAGCTCTTCCTGAGATAAAGAAAGGGAAATTAGACTGAACTTCAATATCACCTAACCCTAAAATGATTGTTAACAAAATAGACCAAAAAAAGATAATGTAGTTCAAGTAAATGTATACTGTAAATGTGAAATTTTAAATGTAAAAAGAAAAAAAGATTAATATAGTATATAAACACATGAAGTACATAAACAAACCTGATTTCCAAAACAAATGAATTTACTTGGAAATGTTAATGTTTCTCAGAAATGTTTTTCTTTTTATTTTATTTTATTTTATTTTATTTTAATGAAACTCTCAACAAATAAATTAAAATGAAATAATTTCTGTAAATATGAAAGAACAAGACGCTCACAACCTTCGACCCTGAAAACAATGATTATAATCATTAATGAGGTCAAAGATCTAGTAATGTTGGCATTTATGGTCACATTACCAGAGTAATGGCGGCACAATCATAATCGATTCACACGGACGAAACGCTCCCTATCCAGTTATTCCAGATCAGATTAGATTTCACAAGGCCATAGGGTTAGAGGAGACTTTGTTCAATGAACAGTTGTGGAACATGCTAATGTCTTCAATCGGTTCTCATTTCCATGATCTCAAGTGTGTTTATTTGTTTAATACTTAATATTTGTTTGTGTTTTTTTTACTGAACATTTAAGACGCAAATTGGTTTTGAATTAGTAAAAACATGTAAATCCAGTATCATACAGGATTTTCAATGGAAAAAATGGGCCAGAATTGCTTGAAAAGACATGGCCTAGACGACATCAGTGGAAAAGGGACAGTCCATTATGGTTAGGTTCACACTGACACTGACAACCGCATTTTACTTACAGGCGTGAGTCTCGAAATGTCCCGCTCACACAGCAATTTACAGTAGCTTCTCGGATATTGTCTGTATGAACGTGCAACAGGAGTCAAGCCCCTATTCCTTACCAGTAACCATAGCAACAGTGGCCAAAGTAATATCAAAGATGATGACATCCTTAATCATTAATGAGGTCAAAGATCATTGAAAAGTGAAAAAACTGAAAGTCTTATCACTTTCTGACAAAACAAGAGACCAATCGAGCCGTGTGTTCATCTGTCAAATCTTCATTAACCTAGAGCAGCTTATACTTGGGAGGAGAGAGAAGCATTTGAGTCGTGCGCTGACTGGAGCGGCTCCGCTGGAGAAAAACTGACTGGATCTAAAACTTTCAGATGACACACAGCTCATTTCTCCGTCCCTGTAAGTTACCGAAACCATGAAAACAGGCGACACATGGTAAACAAGCGTTTGTGCAGCAAAGCGGCTCTTTCTCGCACTGTATGATGTCCAGACCTGTTCCGTTCACACAGGTTGTGAGTCCTGAAAATTTACAGGTGTGAGTTCGGTTACAGAATGCGGTTGTAACGGCCATAAATTACCATACTGTGTGTGAACGTAATTTTATTAAGGACTCAAATACATGACTGACAACTGTTTTCTGCTGCTGTGTGAACGTGGCCTATGATTACAAAGACAAAAAATATGTTCTTTGCAATAACATACATCAATGAATCATTCACAATAAGAATAGGACCATGGATTAAGAAAGTAAATTTCAATTTTGATTTAATATTGACTTTACGAAAGTCTATTTTTTTTACCTGTGTGCACACAAGGAAAGATCCTGCTCACCTTGGTTTCGGAGTCCAGGAGTTTGATTGATTTGTCCGTCACCTGCAGCAGCATTTCCTGTGTCCAGATTTTGTCTTTGGAGTCCAGCAGCTTCAGCTTCTTAATTGCGTCGTCTACTGTAGCAATGGACTCAGATTTATCCATGATGAACGTAGACAGGTGCTGCAAACACAAACAAGTGCGTAAGGTCATTGCTAGAGCAATGCAAACAAATACGATTCAGTTTTCACATTTCACATCTTTAGGATGGATTGAGGCACTGTAAGTTGTATGTGCATTAAATAAGATATATTAGTGCTATAGTAATGATTTCAGAGCATTTCATATAACTGAAAAATAAAGGAAAATGGAACTTGAGGGAACATAAGTAACCTTTTTTTTAAGCATTCATGCATATCACTGCATAAAATGTGCAAAACTGTTGACTTGCTCAGTTATTCAATATTCTCTATAGTAAATGTCTCAAGTCACTATATGTGGAAAGAGAAAGCAAAAATTAGTGCATTTAGACAGTTCCAGATAATATGGCACACTTTTAAATGTTTTGCATCCCAAATTACCATTTAGGCTCATTCCAAAAAATCAGATTTTAATTGTGGTTTGGATTGGGTTTTTAAACGCAATGTGTTTTTTTTTTTCTTTTTCTTTTTCCTGTGCCGACTACAAAAACTAAACAGATTTGAGATTCTCTCCATTTAATTCCATTGCATTCTAGAAGAAAAGGCTGAGATATTAAAGCGATATTACTTGTGATTTTTCAGTAGTAGATAATCAGGTGAATAAATAAACCTACATATTTTCTCTTTCTGAATGTCATTGGGTGTTGCTCATAAAAGAATTGTCATTCTGACTGAGTGAGTAATGTTAGCACACGCCTCCTCATAATATAAATATTATATTTTTAACTTAAACCACGCCTCTATATGTGTGTGTGTGTGTGTGTGTGTGTGTGTGTGTTGGTGGGTGTGCATTTACGTGTCACACTACTATGTGACAAAAAGTGATCCCATCAAAAAGAACAAATTATTCAAAGCATTATGCATGATTCATAAGCAGATTAAGTCTTGTCACTAGTTATGTAAGGGAAGGAGATCTCAGGAGATCTGGATTAACCAGACAATCCAACCAAAAACACGTTTAACACATCTTGATCAGACTCTACACGGAAAGTGGAAAGACTTCAAAAGGATGTAGTCAACCAACTTTCAACTGCACAAAAAGAAAGTTTAACTTTGCTTGTGTTGGGATGGTTGTCGATGTTTGCACACATACAGTACAATCCGTTTGCGAGAGAGGTCAGTGGTTTCCATGGAGCTGTTTAAATTTGAGCTAAAGGGAATCACTTCAGATCGTTGGTCTGAGGTGATGGACTTCAAAACACACCAGTATAAACAGTATATACAAGGTTCTTCAGTGGGTTTTAAATTTAGCAGAGAAACTTATTTTTATTAAGAACCACCAAAACACTGTGGTAATGCCTAAAACACTCAAACCACCTAGCAAGCACCTAGCAATGCCCTAAAACCACTCAAACACCCTAGCAACTACTCAGACTAGCCCTAAAACCACCCAAACACCCTAGCAACGCCCTTAAACCATTCAAACACTCTAGCAACCACTCAGAATTGTCCTAAAAACACTCAAACACCATAGAAACCACCTAGAATTGCCCTTAAACCACCCAAAACACCCTAGCAAACACATTGCAATGCCCTAAAACCACTCAGACATCCAGGCAACTACTCAGACTTGCCCTAAAACCACCCAAACACCCTAGCAACCACCTAGAATTGCCCTTAAACCACAAAAAACAGCCTTGCAAACACCTAGCAATGCCCTAAAGTAGGGCAGTCATGGCGTAATGGTTAGAGAGTCGGACTTGTAAGTCAAAGGTTGGGTTCGAGTCTCCGGTCCGGCAAGGATTGTCGGTGGGGGGAGTGAATGTACAGCGCTCTCTTCCACCCTCAATACCACGACTGAGGTGAGACCCTTGAGCAAGACACCGAACCCCCAACTGCTCCCTGGGCACCACAGCAATATGGCTGCCCACTGCTCCATGTGTGTGTGTTCACTATTGTGTGTGTGCACTTGGATGGGTTAAATGCAGAGCACAAATTCTGAGTATGGGTCACCATAATTGGCCACACGTCACTTCACTCACTTCACTAAAACCACTCAGACACGCTAGCAACTACTCCGACTTGCCCTAAAACCACCCAAACACCCTAAAATTTACCTAAAACCACTCAAAAACCCTAGCAACCACCTAGAATTGACCTAAAACCACTCAAACATCTTAGCAATGGCCTAAAACCACTCAAATACCTTATCAAACCATCTAGCAATGCCCTTAAAACACTCAAACATCCTAGCATTGTCTTTAAACTACCTAAACACCCTAGCAACCTCCTAGAAATACCCTTAAAAACAACCCAGGGAACCTCAGCATCTTGGCAGTAAGTTCTACAAGATATTTTCTACAGAAAATGTACAAATCGAATAATGAACACCACTTTCAAGACCATCTACAGATCCTTATGCTCCTTTGGCCAATTCTCAGAATAATATGCACATTAATTATTAAACCAAAAATATTAAAAGTCTTGCGTGCCTAAACCCAGATTTCTGTGGCATGATGCTTCTGATGTCTCAAGTGTATTAGCATTCAAGACCTTATATGACTGCTGCTGGCAAGGGCATTTATCAACTTTATACGTGTTTGAGAGCGAGAAAAGGAGATAAGAGAGATGACATAGTCTTTATAATGAGTGAAGGGTGAAAGTGTGGAAAAATAGACCAAGCAAAATGATGCATCCAGATCAGAACAAAGTTCAACAGAACGTCTTGAGTCAGGCCTGGATCAAAGTGTCGTTTGATTAGCACAATGATGGCGTACTTGTGCATGGCTAATTCGCTTGTTCTACTGGGTTCTTTCAGGTTGTGTTGCATAAAATGCATCACTGCATTTTGGCCAGTCAAATTTGAAGACTGTGACTATCCATTGTATAATGCAGATTTCAGAATGCAGATTGCTTTATCAGTTCAGATGGAGGTTAACTCTGCCCTGACAAATCTCGGCAGTGATCAAGTGACCTGACTGCTTTTTTACAATATCAAGTCATCAGTTGGATCTTGTTAAATATTAAACCAAACACTCAGTGGTGAGGTTCAGCTAATCAACAAGCTTAGAGAGAAGAAACATAATTAAATAACCCAAGACAAAGAAAGTTTAGAGTCTCGCTCACCTGCACATGATATTGTGACGTCTCTTGCATGATGACGTTCGAGTTTGAGTACTTCTTTCGTTGCTCTGAAAGAAACAGGCACAAACATGGCCATATGAGACACTATTCACAGACTTGCTAGAGGAAAAAGACACTATCTGTGTTTTGACTGTTTCCTCATATGTAAAGTAATTTTTTTGAGAGAGATTCATGCAATGGATATAAATACTGAAGTTGAATGTTCAGACAAAACACAAACTAACCTGAATAGTGCCACATTTTGGCGTAAGCGGACCATCTATATCACTTAAAAGAGACGTTTCATGTACATGAACAGAGAAACTGAGAAAACACCAGTCAACATTTGCATTATGAAACGCCAAGACACATCAATACAGTTAGCGATACAATGCTTGTTCGCTGTTGTTTATCAACAAAACGAGAAGATTATTTAAAAACCTTCAACTTATAACAAGAATAAAAATTCTCATTCCTACCTTTCAAACCAATTAATTAAAATTCAACTTCCTGTCTACAAATCTGCGTTAAATATCTCCATGGTTTCACTTGCGTAAAAATGTGTTGCCTTCCACCAGTAATGCTACGAACTGATGGACTTACGGGCTGGGAATCGTGTTTCACCTGCCTCTTTTATTCAAGGTCAAAGGTCAAACCGTGTAACATATGTAAACCCCCCCCCCGCCGCATCTATGACTTCAATATCATATCATTGTTTGTTTTACAGCAGTCCTATAAATCTGCTCAGCACTGCGTGTTTTACAAAACACTCGACATCACGTTTGCTTTAGCTTGTTAAGACGGATCAACTCAAACAAACTGTAGTGCTCATATGTTGCTTTTTTTTTGGCTCAGGAGAGTTTTGATTGCAAACTTCGACAAATCTGAACAAGTTTGACCCATTCTTGAGATCTCATCTGATCTCTATAAAGGAAACGAGTCTTTTTGTGAGGAAAAACATCAGACGTCTCTCTTAGGCAAACACTTGACGACTACAGTAAATGGATCATTTAAGGTTTAAAAGCCGTTTAACAGACGTATTAAGATTAGTTCAAGGTTAAAGAGCAGAATCAAAGGCGATTCTCTCTTGAAAACATGTTTTAGCGTTGAACTATGTTTATGGTGTTCTTTTGAGGTCAAATTACGCTCACTTTAAGAATGCTAATAACAAGGTTATGTTTAAAATAGTTACATAAACACGGTATGGACGGGTGGCATGTTGTCATGAGGACACAAAATTGTGTAATGACATGGGTATGACAGGTATTACAATGTGAAGGTGGTTTATGAGGATACTAGGGCTGGGTTTTGACACAAATTTCACGATTCGATTACCGATTCGATTCAATATTGATTAAAAAATTCTCATTCCTACCTTTCAAACCAATTAATTAAAATTCAACTTCCTGTCTACAAATCTGCGTTAAATATCTCCATGGTTTCACTTGCGTAAAAATGTGTTGCCTTCCACCAGTAATGCTACGAACTGATGGACTTACGGGCTGGGAATCGTGTTTCACCTGCCTCTTTTATTCAAGGTCAAAGGTCAAACCGTGTAACATATGTAAACCCCCCCCCCGCCGCATCTATGACTTCAATATCATATCATTGTTTGTTTTACAGCAGTCCTATAAATCTGCTCAGCACTGCGTGTTTTACAAAACACTCGACATCACGTTTGCTTTAGCTTGTTAAGACGGATCAACTCAAACAAACTGTAGTGCTCATATGTTGCTTTTTTTTTGGCTCAGGAGAGTTTTGATTGCAAACTTCGACAAATCTGAACAAGTTTGACCCATTCTTGAGATCTCATCTGATCTCTATAAAGGAAACGAGTCTTTTTGTGAGGAAAAACATCAGACGTCTCTCTTAGGCAAACACTTGACGACTACAGTAAATGGATCATTTAAGGTTTAAAAGCCGTTTAACAGACGTATTAAGATTAGTTCAAGGTTAAAGAGCAGAATCAAAGGCGATTCTCTCTTGAAAACATGTTTTAGCGTTGAACTATGTTTATGGTGTTCTTTTGAGGTCAAATTACGCTCACTTTAAGAATGCTAATAACAAGGTTATGTTTAAAATAGTTACATAAACACGGTATGGACGGGTGGCATGTTGTCATGAGGACACAAAATTGTGTAATGACATGGGTATGACAGGTATTACAATGTGAAGGTGGTTTATGAGGATACTAGGGCTGGGTTTTGACACAAATTTCACGATTCGATTACCGATTCGATTCAATATTGATTATTTTGGATATATATATCAGGTACAGTACATGCCAAATTTTCTCAAGGAAAAAAAAATCTCAACTAATGCTGTAAAATATACATGAGTCCTTTGGTCCTATACTACATTACTATAATATTGAAGGTTAAAATTAATTAAGTTTTTACAATAATAAAGTTACAGTTACATATTAATATTTCTAACATGCTTCAATTCAGTTTTTTTTTATATAAACATTTAAATGGTGGTTGTCATAACTTGGAGTTATTCAAACATAAATTAAACATTGAAGAACAGTAAAAAATTATAATGAATGTCATATGATGCATATATTAAGCAAAATGCCCCTCTCTACAGTTTATTTTTCTATCTGACTAATGAGTTTATGGTCACCGAATATGTTTTTCTGAGGTAAATGTGACGTTACGTGACATTGTTTAGAAGCCATTATATTGACGTCTTTGCGCGGCTGAAACACTGATTGAGCGATTACACGAGACAGGATCACATTAAAGTTGTACTCTTTCTTTTAACTTACCTTCGGATGTTTAGCCATGTTTATTTTGTGCTGAAACTGGTATTAATGTGGAGAAGATGATCAGAAGCGCTACAGCGATGTCACTTCACATTAAACTGCGCCAAACCGGCATTTATTTTTTTAAATACTGCAATACAATGGACAGAATTTGAAATCTGAGACTTTGTTTCATATTAAAGTACCAAAGCACAATGCTTATTGCGATATATTGGATGGGAGGTGCCCTTCAATGTTCCATCCATTAACTGAAAACAGGCTAGAATAATCGTTCCTTAAAAATGAGAATCGATTAATATCGAGATATCGATATTTTTTTTACCCAGCCCTAGAGGATACTACGGAAGTTCTAAGCGGCCATGCATTATTATTTTTTTCCTTCTTGTTTTCTCGTTATAATGACTTATTTTCTCGTTATATCGACATAACGAGAGTTGTTTTCTCGTTATAACGACTTAATGTTCTCGTTATCGACATAACGAGAGTTGTTTTCTCGTTATAACGACTTAATCTTCTCGTTATATCGACATGACGAGAGTTGTTTTCTCGTTATAACGACTTATTTTCTCGTTATATCGACATAACGAGAGTTGTTTTCTCGTTATAACGACTTATTTTCTCGTTATATCGACATAACGGGAGTTGTTTTCTCGTTATAACGACTTATTTTCTCGTTATATCGACATAACGAGAGTTGTTTTCGACATAACGAGAGTTGTTTTCTCGTTATATCGACATAACGAGAGTTGTTTTCTCGTTATATCGACATAACGACTTAATTTTCTCGTTATAGCGACTTAATTTTCTCGTGATCTCGACCAAGTTTTTTTTTTTTTTTCTTTATAACGAGAAAATTAAGTCGTTATAACGAGAAAACAACTCTCGTTATGTCGCTATAACGAGAAAATTAAGTCGTTATAACGAGAAAACAACTCTCGTTATGTCGCTATAACGAGAAAATTAAGTCGTTATAACGAGAAAACAACTCTCGTTATGTCGCTATAACGAGAAAATTAAGTCGTTATAACGAGAAAACAACTCTCGTTATGTCGATATAACGAGAAAATAAGTCGTTATAACGAGAAAACAAGAAGGAAAAAAAAAATAATGCATGGCCGCTTAGAACTTCCGTAGGATACTGCTTGTGTCCCCGTAATTCAAAAGGCTTAAAAACATACTAAACGTTTTTTTTTTTTTTTATTCTAAAAATGCACAAAGTTTTCTGTGAGGGAAAGGTTTAGGTGTAGGGCAATAGAAAATACAATTTGTACAGTATAAAAAACATTATGCCTCTAGAGAGTCACTGTAAACCACCAAAACCAACGTATGTGTGTGCACTCTCCGAAAAAAAGGTACAAAAGCTGTCACTAGGGTGGTTTCTTTACAAAAGGTACACTTTTGTACCTTTTAGGTACTAATATGTACTAGTACTCCAGTCTAAAGTGTCACATGATCCAAAATCATTCTACATTAAACAATTTAATGCATCCTTGCTAAATAAAACTCTTATTTCTTTCAAAAGAACTCATTACATTACTATATACGTTAATATTTGATTTGATATTCACTTTAATATGCATAATATATTTGCACAAATATTATATACCATTGTTGCACTAACATATGCAGCTAAACCAATCTAACACATTTTGTCATGCCAATAAAGTACATTAAACTGAAACTGAATTGAGCGATAGCGGGAGAGGGTCATCGGCCTGTGTGGATCTCTGGGGTTAAGCGACCAGAGCTAATCATTACCACTAAATGAGCACGCGTTCTTATCAGCTGCTTTACGGGATAACATATCAGAGCTACATTCTTTCACACCCCTCCTCCAGCACATCCTCCCCTTATCTCTCTCTCCATCTCTCCAGGAAGTCTTCTTCACACTCTTTTCTCTCTTCCTGCTGGATGGAGAGAGTCCTAACAGACCAGCACGGCGTCTTTGTGAAAGTCGAGCTGCGTGCATGAGTTATTCACGTCTGACATTTACTCCAAACGCTTCGCAGCTTGTCGACAGCTCACAACGAGGGAGATCGTTGGGATCGCACGGGATGAACTCCAGCTTCTCACGATTCTGGGTTGACAATAATTGTCATGCTAATTTAACACTAGCAATTAACACTTGCACTCAGAAGAACCTCAACTGGCTTTTCTAGTAACTGGAGCTCCACCAAAGAAAATCACCAATGTCATCTCTTTATTATCTCATTTGTATCTAGTGAACCCAAATATTTCTCATTAAATGATTCACGTTCATTTTATAGCTCTATACTCTTACTGTACAAAAATTATTAATTC